TACTGAGATTCAAGTTTCTTAACTACTTTGGGTTGGAAGTCTCCCTATTCTCCAACAGTTTGTTCCTTGCTCAATAAAATATTCATATTAAGCAGAGCTTTCTGAATTTTCTTTTGATAGAACATATTTGTTTTACATTTCCTTTCAGATTGTTTTATTACATCTAGTTCTTGGTACGCTATTTTGCTACCTTTGTCTTAAGCGGTTTGTTTCCTCATGATTTGTAACTCTTGATGGTAAACTCATCTTCAGTAGGAGGTTATTTCACTGGGAGTTTCATGTGCTTGGGTTGTGAAGCTTCCCTACAAAGAAAATTGTCATTTGCCTCTGACATAGCCTTTGGATTTTTACCAGGTCCAGTCATTTCTGTGTGTGTGTGTGTGTGTGTGTGTGTGTGTGTGTGTTACGAATCCCACATCATAGGAGTAGTGTAAATTTAGACTCCATACTAATATGTGACACAGGCTTGGTGTTTCAATTCCTTGCATATGACCTTTCCTCTCTACCGCTGGCCCCAATTCTTTGGCTACCTTTTGTAGTCTGAGATAGAGGGAGTAGTAGATGGCCAACTCAGAGACATGTCAATCTGCAGTCTACTTGCTAATGATGTTAGAAGATAAATGATGAAAACCTCATTAGGAAAAAAAAAAAGATGAGAATCTGTATCTTTAGGTAATTTTGAGGTCATTTATTATAATCTTTAAACCAAGGTGAATTTTTTCCCCTATGTATCTTTTTTTTTTTAAGATTTTATTTATTTATTTGACAGAGAAAGACACAGCGAGAGCAGGAACACGAGCAGGGGGAGTGGGAGAGGAAGTAGGCTTCCCGTGGAGCAGGGAGCCCAATGCGGGGCTTGATCCCAGGACCCTGGGATCATGACCTGAGCCAAAGACAGATACTTGACTGAGCCACCCAGGCGCCACCCCACCATGTATCTTTGATCAGTGGTCATCCAAACTTACGGTTTTTTTAAATTTAAATTCAATTAGCCAACATATAGTACATCATTAGTTTTTGGTGTAATCTTCAATGATTCATTAGTTGTGAATAATATATTAACATTTCCAGTGACACCATCCCATTATTTCTTATGTTATCCTATTTTATGTTTGAACAAAACCTCTGGTTACTGGAAAGTTTTTTTAAAAATCCAAATTTGCATTCTTGTAGCTTACACCACTGGTGTAATTTCAGCCCAGTGGAGATGACGAATAAGTTAATTCTATCTTCTGCATCACACCTTTCAAATATTTCAAGATAATTATCATGTGTAATGGGGTAATGTTTAAAACTACTAAGCCTATGAAATTTTCAGTTCTCACTGTTCCTTCCAACACACATACATCTACCTCCTTGCAGCCCCAGAAATCAGTTTCCTCTGTAACCCTTCTGCTATTATAGACCTGGGGGAGGGCAAATGTTACCCCTATAAGAATATGACTTGTGGAAAATCTCTGCTGCAGTAGAAGGGGATGAAATCCTTCTTCTTCTGGCCTGATAGAATATGGGACAAAGGAGAGAAGAGGGAAGGGAGTAAGTGATAACATTCACACATGATCACACACACACACATTGATTCTCTGCTGAAATCTGTGTGTGTGCATGCATATATGTGTAGTTGGGAGGGGGCTAGGTAGGTTGAGAGAAATATCAAAAAAAAAAATGCCAAAAAAGCAGAGGAGGCTTATGCCCCATCACTCATTTGGGATCCAGGAAAGAGACTGCTATTCCCTGTGGCCCCAGACTGGTAAGTGGAAGCTGCAGAGTACAGAGTTGTTAGGCAGAGAGCGGGCCTGAGTTAACACTCCTGTATCTCCTTTGGTCCCCATGAGATATGGAAGGGAACCAGAAATTCCTCAGCTGGATGAAGCACCTCTGCAGTAGAGGCTGTGGGGTAGACGGTCAAGGCCAGATGGAGGCCCTGCGTGAGGCTCAGAGGGGTCTACAGCCACAGCAGTTGTGGAGGTGGAACCAAGCCAGTGAAGAAAAACTCTATCAGAGCCAAGACTCTAGCCAAGAATTCACCAGTGACAGACTTTAAGCAGTAGGTGCCATTAGAGCACCCAGCAACCAAGAGAAAAAGGACATCACCATGGAGACAAGAGAGGACTCACAGGGCCTGCACAGGCTGATCGGAGACCCCATTTTTTTCCACTGCCATGAGGTCACAAAAGCCCCTGAGTCTACAACTTTGAGAATCTAATGAAAGCTAAAAGACCCTTTGTCCAGCCAGAAAAAGGTTCACATGCACTAAATTTTACATATAATTTCAAGGTTCACAAGCCATGGACTTTAGCTTAAGACCCTCTTCTCAGACTCAGTTAAAGAACCATATAAAAGAAGAGTGGCTTGTTTTGGGATACTCACTGGTTTTAGTGAAATAGTGATCACTATATTCTGCTCTATTAGTCATCTGTTTAGGATTCCAGTTAAAAGTTTTGCTCAAGGTTGAGGTCAAACTTTACTGACCTAATGTTTTTGGAATTTACCTTTCTCCCCGCCAAATTTTAGAAATAAGGAAAATGTTTGTGCATTTGCCAAATACTCCTTCTTTTCTCCATGATTCATGGCTATTACTAACTATGGTTCGGAAATTACATCTGCAGAGTCTTATGTTAACCTTTGATGAAAATCAGGCTTAGAGATGTAAAATCTCTTAAATTAGTTGGGTGTTTTTTCTCTTTCCTTATATTTGTTGGTATTCAATTCTCTTGGTCATTTTTGCTTATCTCCAGTCAGCTTGATTATCTTACCTAATGGAAAAGAAAAAATCTCTTCCCCAAGGATGACTCTTTCTCTTTGTATGTATTCTATTCTGAATATATCAAGACATTATGGTGGGAAGAGTATCGACCTTGGAATTGGAAGACATAGATTCAAATCCTGGCTCCATCACATACTGACTGTTTAATTCTGGGGAAACCTCTTAAATTCTGAGTATTTGATCTCATCTCCAAAATGGGGATAATAATACCCCCTTTGTAGGTTTTTGGATGGTGATGAAAGAGATGGCATTTGAAAAAAATTAGTTCAGTGCTGGGTATTTCATAGGTACTGAGTAAACGTTCTCCTTCCTCATTTCAGCGTTATTCTCAAGCACTCACTTATTCTGGCCATTAACCTTCCTTTACTGTTCTTACAAGCTCATGCTACTCTTTTGTTTTTGTTCTTGTTTCTGAGTCCCTTCTTCTCTTGTTTGCATAAATCCACAGGAGTATTTTATCTGTACTGGGGACACAGTGCACAGAGTCCAAGAGATTCCTAGTAGTCTATTAAATGGTTGAGATTTGGGGGGTGCCTGGGTGGCTCAGTGGGTTAAGCATCTGCCTTCAGCCTAGGTCATGATCCCTGGGTCCTGGGATCCAGCCCCAGGTCAGGCTCCCTGCTCAGTAGGGAGTCTGCTTCTCCCTATGCCTCTCCCCATCCCCCAATTGTGCTTTCTCTCTCACTCACTCTCTCAAATAAATAAAATCTTTAAAAAATAAAAAATAAATAAATTAATTAAATAAGTGGTTGAGATTTGGGAAAAAGTTATTGGCTCCAAAATATAGAAAGAAAATTGAAAAATCAAAATTAATAAATATTTAATTAAATGTTAAATAACCTGAACATTGTCAGGTAGTCTATTCAACTCTTACATTATTATTATTTTTTAAGATTTTTTAATTTATTTGACAGAGAGAGACACAGTGAGAGAGGGAACACAAGCACGGGGAGTGGGCGAGGGAGAAGCAGGCTTCCCACTGAGCAGGGAGCCTGATGATGGGGCCTCAATCCCAGGACCTTAGAACCATGACCTGAGCCAAAGGCAGATGCTCAACGACTGAGCCACCCAGGTGCCCCCAACTCTTACATTATTATAAATAGCCCCACAAGTCTTTAGTCACAATTCTGGAATCCAGAAAGTTCTGAAAATAAAAATTTTTTTTTTGGTTAGTTTGGGGTGAACTGATTTGGCAGCACAACCTAACCTGAACTAACTTGAAAGCTGTTTATGATCTGTATTTATGCCTTTTAGTGTAAATATTCATACATTTTTTTATGCAGAAATAGAAATGTGTTTGATTATGAATACTGTCCCAAGCCCCTGTGGAAGCATTATGTAATATATGGTATATGCAATCTATTATCATTCTAAAATCTGAAAAGTTCTGAATTCCAACAGTATATCTACCCAAGGGAATTAGATCAAGGATTTCATTCTTGTGTAAATAATATGTGAGATAGGAGTTAAGTTTTCATATGTTCACTATAATGTGTGTGTGTGTGTGTGTGATTCCAACATTAAGTGAGATGCTGAAAAGTCTCTCTCAGTGGGTGGGAGAGAGAGCAAGAGAGAGAGCAGGAGCATGTGCAAGCACAGCCATGTGATTTTCCTTAAGAAAATCACATTCTTTTTTTTTTTTTTTAAGATTTTATTTATTTATTTGAGAGAGAGACCGAGAGAGAGCATGAGCGGGGGTGGGGATGAGGGTGGAGGTGGGGTTGTGGGGAGAGGGAGAATCAGGCTCCTGCTAAGCAGGGAGCTGTATGCGGGCCTGGATCCCAGGACCCCAGCACTCTGCGGGATCATGACCTGAGCTGAAGGCAGCTGCTTAACTAACTGAGTCACCCAGGGGCCCTGAAAATTTCATTCTTTTAAAAGGACTTCTAGTAAGTGCGTAAAAATTGGCCCAATATCCTTAGTCATCAGAGAAATGAAAATTAAGACCACAATAAGAGGGGCGCCTGGGTGGCTCAGTCGTTAAGTGTCTGCCTTCAGCTCAGGTCATGATCCCAGGGTCCTGGGATTGAGCCCTGCATTGGGCTCCCTGCTCCGCGGGAAGCCTGCTTCTCCTTCTCCCACTCCCCCTGCTTGTGTTCCCTCTCTCGCTGTGTCTCTCTCTGTCAAATAAATAAATAAAATCTTAAAAAAAAAGACCACAATAAGGTACCATTTTATACCCTCTAGAATGGTTAAAATAAAGAAGACATACAATAACCAATGTGTGGGGGACATGGAGAAGCTGAGAACTTTATACATTGCTGGTGAGAATGTAAAATGATGAAACCACTTTGAAAAACAATTTAAGTTCGTCAAAAAATAAAAGATAAAACTATTATACTACCTCACAATTCTACTCCTATGGACTGCCCAGGAGAGATTAAAATATATCCACAGAAAGACTTGCCCATGTATGTTCATAGTCAAAATTTGGAAACAACCTAAATGTCCATCAACCAGTGAAAGGATAGATAAATGTGATATATCCATATGATGAAATACTATTCACAGTCAAAGGAAATCAACTACAGACACATGCTATATCATGAATGAACCTCACAAACACTGTGCTAAGTGCAAGAAGCCAAACACAACAGACCGTATATTGTATCATTCCATTTATATGAAATGTTCAAGAAAGGCAAGTCCATAAATACAGAAAGTAGATTAGTGGTTTTCTGAGACTGGATGTGGAAAGTGGATTAGCTATAAATGGGTGTGAAGGATTTTATTGGGAAGATGAAAATGTTCTAAAACTGATTTGTGATATTGGTTATACCACAGTAAAGTTACCAACAATCACTGAATTGTACACTTGAAATAGGTGAATTTTATGGTAAAAAAAATACCTCAAAAAGTTGTTTTTGGAATGCCTGGGTGGCTCAGTTGGTTAAGCATCTGCCTTCAGTTCAGGTTGTGATCCCAAGGTCCTGGGATCGAGTCCCCATTGGGCTCCTTGCTCATCGGGGAGCCTGCTTGTCCCTCTGCCTGCCACTCCCCCTGCTTGTGCTCTCTCTCTCTCTGACCAATAGATACATAAAAAGTCTTAAAAAAAGTGGGTTTTTTTTGTTTTTTGTTTTTTAACTGGCTCTTAGTCTAAGAGAGAAAAGCAATTACAAGCTACAAGGTTTTCCTGGTATATTTTTCCTTAAACCCTCTAACCTCAGTTTCCCAATCTGCAAAATATTCTTGTGCAGGGGCCACGCCAATCTTCTCTGTATTGTTTGCAATACAGAATATTCTTTTTTTTAAAGATTTTATTTATTTATTTGAGAGAGAGAGAGAGAGAGCCAGCACAAGCAGGGGGGAAGGGCAGAAGGAAAGGGAGAAACAGGCTCCCTGCAAACCAACCAACCAACCAACCAACCCCTGGGATCATGACCTGAGCTGAAGGGAGACACTTCACCGACTGAGCCACCCAGGTGCCCCCAGAATATTCTTAATAATAGTACCTACCTCTCTAGGTTATCGTGATGATTAAATAAGATAAGCTTATGAAGCATTTAGCACAATTCCTGGCACAAGGTAAGCAATAAATTAAGATTAGCTGTAGAAAAAAGTTTTGTGTTTCAATGGAAAACTATACATCACCTATAGCATACCCTTCAGGGCTCTCTGATTCTAGCTGTTTTTCTTGTCTTTCAGCTATTTTGCGATTTTTAAAAAAGATTTTATTTATTCATTTGAGAGAGTGTGCGCGCATGAAGGGGGGGAGACTCCCCGCTGAGCCGGGAGTCCGATGCGGGACTCGATGCGGGACTCGATGCGGGACTCGATGCGGGACTCAATCCTGGGACTCCAGGATCATGACCTGAGCCGAAGGCAGTTGCTTAACCAACTGAGCCACCCAGGTACCCTATTTTGCGACTCTTGAAAGTTGTAGGTAGCTGATAGATAGGTGAACTTTGTCCTGTCTGGTAGAGATGCAGTGAACTTCCTCCCTGTGGAAAAATCAATTTTGTCTCTATTTGCAATTCATTTCAACATTCCTTTATTCCATATAAATGTGTGTTCTTTTGAACTAGTTATTACATCTATTTGGTTCCCTTATATCATATAAGGAAAATAAAAATCTTAACACGTGTTCGTTTTTATATCTGTGAGATTCATGATTTTGCTTTTTTCTGAAATTGTCTTTTAACAGTTTTGGAGGTTCCACCAAGATGCCCAATGGATTCACCTGACAGAGCCAGGTAACATTCATCAATCTCATGGGTGGTGTAAACCTGGGCACATCTTCTTTTGGCTTCCAGAGGTGAATTCAAAGAGGCAATAGGACTTTGGTGACTCTCCATTTTTCCAGATTTTAATTTTGTTTTCTACTCATTTTGTTTTCAATTTGTTTTAGCTGATAAATTATTCCTTATTGGAAATTTGGTTTAATGGTCTGAAAATTTGGTGATTCTGTAGATGGGTTAATGGTCAATAGATAGCTTGTCCCTGTTGGATGAAAAATGTCAGAGACTGATTTATTTATCTTTTCTGTTTGTGTGTTTGTTTATTTTGAGTTCAAATCAATGAAGAATTTATATCCACTGTGGACAGAACAAGTCCTTTATATGGACCATGGAGTTTTATAATTTTGTGTCTACTCTTAACCTATGGCTGAAATTTTAAAATTTAAGCTCAAAGTTCTATTTGCATTTATTTGTCTGTCATTGTATCTATAGTTCAGAAAGGTTTTTACCTCTCATTGTGTGAAAGTGAAATATTTTCTACCTCCAGTTGGCATTACTAAATTTGATTATAAGGTCTCTTTAAGGATCTCTGTTCTGATTGGTTTGTAGAAATAAGCACATATATAAACTGAATATTCCTCATTTCAGAAAATAAGGAGGTTGAACTTCTAATACTTTCAATGTGCTAGATTTAAAAAGTATTCTTACAGAAACAGATACAGAATTGTTAAGAATTCAAGTTCACACGATTTAGGCAATTTTTTTGGCAAATTAGTCCAGTTTAGTATTTTTGGCTTAATAAAAAGAATAATTTTTTTGATTTATCAATGTAAGTGTAATACAAACTTATGTTTTTATTCTACTTAGATAAGTTCTTCGTAAATGTATACAGATATACTCCCCAAATAAGCTAGCATTACTTCTACTTAATTTTTAAGGTTATGAAAAATATAGATTTGTGTTTAGTCAAATTGATTCATCATTCTGACAATAATTTATTATTTTATTATATTTATTGAAAATTGTATTTCAACAGTAACTGTGTTCTGTAGTATGTCAACTTGAAGAGGATTTGTGAGGGGGTTAGGTAACCTAAAGCTTTGGACTGACACTAAATCAAGTTAATGGATATTTATTGGATGTTTAGGTCATTTCTAAACTGAAACACCGATTACTAAACATAATTTTAAGTGTATATAGTTTTGCTTCTTCATTTTTGTTTTGTAATAAGAGCTAACATTTATTGAGTGCATAGTTCTGTAACATTTATGAAAATTACTTCATTCAATCCTCAAAACAACCTTATGAAACTGGAACTATTAGTCTTCTACTTTTTAACTTACCCAAGGTCACATAGTCAGTAAGAAGCAGAGTTGGAAGGTGAACCCTGGTAGTCTGACCCTGGAGAATGTGATCTTTTTTTTTTTTTTTAAAGATTTTATTTGGTTATTTGACAGAGAGAGAGATAGCGAGAGCAGGAACACAAGCAGGGGGAGTGGGAGAGGAAGAAGCAGGCCTCCTGCCGAACAGGGAGCCTGATGCGGGGCTCGATCCCAGGACCATGGGATCATGACCTGAGCCGAAGGCAGACGCTTAACAACTGAGCCACCCAGGCGCCCCTGGAGAATGTGATCTTAACCATAAAGCTGTAGTGTCTTCGTTTGGGCAGTACTACCACTAGGTAGGCTCTTGAAACGCCTCTGTAAGTTCCTCCCCTGGTTTGTTAAGGTAGGCCATATGTTTGGTTTTCTTTGTTTTTATTGAGGTGTAATTGACATATGACATTGTATTAGTTTCAGGTGTACAAAATAATGATTTGATATTTGATATATTGCAAAATGATTACCACCATAAATCTAGTTAACATGTTAACATACATAGTTATAAAATTTTTTGCTTGTGATGAGAACTTGTAAGATCTATTCTCTGAGCAACTGTCACATTCACAGTACGGCATTACTAACTATAGTGACCGTGCTGTACGTTATATCCCATGACTTATTTATTTTATAACTGGAAGTTTTTGCCTTTTGACCCCCTTCACCCATTTCACGCTCCCTTGCTTCTTACTTTATATGCTATGAAGAGGCAATATAGGCATGTTCATTTTTGCCACTTTGAGAAGTTATAAAGTCAGTGATGCATATGGCCATAGAAAGCTGAGCTAATCTGCTAAAATGCTGAGGTGTGTCATTGCACACTCACACACTCCCGCTTTCACTTTGTGAGAAAGAAATAAGAAGCAGCCTCTGGGGTGTTGGGAGCCCTGTTCCTGGCCATTGGCCTCTGGACCTGGGGTGAGAAGGGCGTTCTCTCCAATATCTCGGTGCTGACAGATCTGGGAGGCCTCGACCGGTGTGGCTCTTTGTAGTGGTTGGAGGCGTCATGTAGGTGCTGGGCTTTGCCGGCTGCATTGGGGCCCTCCGGGAGAACACCTTCCTGCTCAAGTTTTTCTCAGTGTTCCTCGGCCTCATCTTCTTCCTGGAGCTAGCAACAGGGATCCTGGCCTTCGTATTCAAGGACTGGATTCGAGACCAGCTCAATTTCTTCATCAACAACAACGTCAAGGCCTATCGGGATGACGTTGACCTCCAGAACCTCATTGACTTTGCTCAGGAGTATTGGTCTTGCTGCGGAGCCCGAGGGCCTAATGACTGGAACCTCAATATCTATTTCAACTGCACTGACTTGAACCTGAGCCAGGAGCGCTGCAGGGTGCCCTTCTCCTGCTGCGTCAGTGACCCTGCGGAAGATGTCCTCAACACCCAGTGTGGCTATGATGTCCTGCTCAAACTGGAGCTGGAGCAGCAGGGCTCCATCCACACCAAAGGCTGTGTGGGCCAGTCTGAGAAGTGGTTGCAGGACAACCTGATCGTTGTGGCTGGGGTCTTTGTGGGTCTTTGTCTCCTCCAGATCTTTGGTGTCTGCCTGGCCCAGAACCTTGTGAGTGACATCAAGGCAGTGAAGGCCAACTGGATCAAACATGAAGATGGCTACAAACTACTCAAATAAACAAAACCTTGAAAACCACTGGCTTATGCCCACCATCTCAGAGGTTCTGTCGGCTGCAGGGCCTCAGCTGTGCTGTCTGCCTGGGGCCCCGGCCTGGACCCACCCTGCCAACTTGTTTTCTTGGCCTGGATTGTGTATACATTGAGCCAACCTTTAAAACTTGGTATATTTCACGTAAAAGTCCAAATCCCCAGCATCTTGTGAAGAATGGCTGGCTGGCCACAGCGGCTCTTCGGTGGCATTGGCTCCTGGAATGTGCGCTTCCCGTTCTCTGAGGGACCTACCTGGCCTGTTCTGCTCACTTAAGTGCCTTGCCTGCCTGACCCTGTAGGCTGGGAATTGGCCTCCTCCAACTCTGCAAGGTTTTCCCCTGCAAATGCTGCCAGGCTGCTATGGGCCAAACCTGGATCGAAGCCTGGGAGAGTGAAGAATGGGGAGGCTGGAGCCTGCCCGGAAGAGGCCACAGCCTGGGAAGGTTCTGGTCCTCCTGGGGGCTAAGATGGGTGCCACCGTGCCCAGGAGAGTGGCTGATGCGTGGGATGGAGATCAGGAAGGTTTTGGGCAGGAGGAAGCTGGAAGCCTGAGCTTGGCACCCGTGGGGATAGGGGGAACCAGGTTTGGGGGCCATTGATGGTTGACTCCTAGGCTCACTTGGAATCTAGTTCAGTCTTCCCGGTGGCTTCCCGGTGGCCTGGAGAGTTGCCTCCTGGCCACTAGAGGGCGCGCTAGCACAGCTTTACCTGGATCTGGCTTTCCTACGGCAACCCCACCCAGGTACAGCCCTGTGCCTGGTGTGTCCACCCTGCTTACTGGTTCTTTGGGTTTCAGGGAATTTACAAACTTCTAAAGGAGCAAACTGGCTCAGATTTGGGAAGTCTGGCTACTGTTCTCAGATCTGCACAAAGGGGTATGTGTGGAGTGAGCATTTGTGGATGAAAGGAGAGGTTTGGGCTAGTGCACAGATCGCTAACTTAGATGCCCTCAGGGCCAGGTGGATTGTAAAAATAAAGTAGGCCTTTGAGTTGTGAGGCCTTTGCAGTGCGACTCTAATTTTTCCCGCTAGTCCTGGAGATGGGATATAGAGAGACATTTCTTTGTGACATTTTGCATGATTGAGTCTGAGTCGCTAATTGCAACTGGCCTTGAGTGGCAATAAGATGTGGTGGGGATTGTGGCAAAGCACAGATTCCCACCTGAAATTGGTGGCTGTCCTTCAGTTGTAGCTAATTGCTGTAAAGCGGGAATGTAGGTAGATCTAATGCAAGAAATCTGGAGAAGCCAAAAAGCTAGATTTTTATATGAAGTATTCTGATTTTTAAGTTGTTGGCAACTAATGAAAAAACATCTTAAATCCTGCTAGTCGAACAAAAGGTGTGGGGGCCAGCTGTGGCCCCCCTGCCACCGTAGATCCCTCTGGGACAGTCCCCCATGGGGGCCCTGGGGGAGTCCACTGTTCAGGAATGCTGGGAGCTGCTGCAGGTGGGCAGGGTGTGGGGCAGGCGCCTAGCATTGTGGCTCCCAGGTGCAGGCTGGGCGGTGTCTTCTGGTCTCTGAAAGACACAGGCTGTGGGTGGTCTCTACATGCTACAATAAATGCAGCTCACAATATTGTGCAAAAAAAAAAAAAAAAGAAGCGGCCTTTGATGTCCAAAAGTGATCTAACACTCACAGGCCATTTGTTCATTTTAAACAATCTTACAGAATACCAGCCTCAGACATGATTACCCTGAGACCATGATAGAATGGATAAAACAAGGCTGCTTCATAATTTTGTTTACTCACATATAAGATAACTATATAAAACCACAAAATACCAAATATCCCCTCTCTTGCTAAATGAATGACTATTACCCCTTATGCAGTCATTCCCTTGATTTCTGACAGTATTCAATTTTGGACAGAGCCTTGCTTCTTTATACTCTCTCCAAACCACCCAAGGGAAGACCAAATCCTATAACAGGTTCTTTGTAATTATCTCTCACTGAGATATTCCATGGTTACCTATGATTTTTGTTCTGCCTTGTTGCAATGAGTAGTAAAGCTGACTTGTTTAACTACATGTATGTTTCTGGTGGTCTTTGGCAGAAGGGCCTTGACAAATGAAATGGTCATTTTCCCCACATTCCTGGCACTGCCATATCATCAATTACTGCTTTCTTCTTTGTTGGTCTAAGGTAAGTCCAAACAATTGAGCATCAAAATAAATATTGATAATAGTGGATTTAACTCTTTGAAAAACATAATGACCCATGAATATGTTCTGATATAAATGAATAAAATAAAAGGGAAAGCTCTACTTTACATTAGAGTGCCAATGAATAAGTGTAGAAGAATTGATGGAATTAGAAAAGGATGATTTTGTAAAGATCCCTGAATATGTAATTCATACAAGAATCATTATGTTGAGGAACGGGATAATTACATGGTCTCAAAGCATCTTTCTGCAAAACTCTTATTAATTACTTATTAATTAATAAGCATGACATACCTGCTAATTATAACCTCTAATTCACTACTAATTTAATTAACTACTAATCAACAAATTCATTTAACTACTTGTTAATAGTTATATCATCAGTAAAGGGACAAATTGACGTTGTGCACTTCCTTGATGTGCTGAGAAGAACCCAGTATCGCTTCTGGGGTATTCCTGCAAAAAATGCATAAATTATAAGTAAATATTAGACAAATACAAATTGAGGGACAATCCTCAAAAAATAACTGGCAGTACTCTTCACAAATGTCAAGATCAAGAAAGACAAGGAGATTGAGAAACTGTTCCAGATTGAAGGAGACTGAAGCTAAATGCAGTGTATTTCTGGGCTTAATCCTGCATCTATAAAAGACATTATTGGGACCAAAGGAAAAATTTGAATGGGGCTTGTAAATTAGATGGGAATCTTGGATTGATGTTAATTTTCTGATGTTGATGGTTGTACTGTGATTGTATGGGAGAGCGTCCTCATTTTTAGGAAATATGTACTGAAATATTCAGGGTTAATGGGTCATGAATTCTGCAACTGTTTCTCAATGATTTAGAAATATCCACAATTGAGGAATCCCAGTGACATGTACACAGGAGGTCTTTGTACAATTTTTGTAATTTTTATGTGAATTTACCTCATTTTTTTTTTTAAGAGGAAGAAAGGAAGAAAAAGCAAAAAAGTAAGTCTAGACGTTCTGCGTGTGTCCTCTTTCCTTTAAGCCAGAACTAAATCATGGGGTATTGGCCTCCAGGAGAGGGCAGCAGATCTCTTGGTTATGTGGTTGGAGCCTTTGGTCATAATCAGTTATTATTTCTTTTTAATATTAGCATGATCACATTTTTACTTGTTAAATTTGAATCTAGCATCTTCTGGGCTCCAACTGGGGATTCATATCACTGATCTATGTAGTTTAATTAATATACAGATGTTTAGGACTTACTCAAGATTTATTGAATCTCTTTACTTGGCATTCTGGATATGTTCTTGGTGTATTCTTACAAAAATCTTGGTATATTCATGATATATAAAGTCAGGATTATTATATGTTATGTCTCAATATTTTTTCCTTTTTCTTTAAAGATTCTATTTGTTTGACACAGAGAGAGAGAGAGCACAAGCAGTGGGAGTGGCAGGTAGAGGGAGAAACAGCCTGCCGGCTGAGCAGGGAGGCCGACTCAGGGCTCCATCCCAGGACTCTAAGATCATGACCCGGGCTGAAGGAAGACACTTTACTGACTGAGCCACACAGATTCCCTTCAATATTTTTTCTTTGTAAAAAGTGTGTTCATCCATTTTTATAAATTAGATGTAATGTTCACTGTCTTCTTTGAAAAGAGAGTTAATCGTATTTATAATTACTTTGTCTGAAGCTTTTCTTAGATTGACTTTATTTTATTTTTTTAAAAAAGATTTTATTTATTTATTTTTAGAGAGATCACACAAGTGGGGTGGGGTGGAGTAGGGAACAGCAGAGGGAGAGGGAGAAGCAGACACCCTGCTGAGCAGGGAGCCCAATACAAGGCTCGATCCCAGGATCCTGGGATCATGACCTGAGCCAAAGACAGACACTTAACCAACTAAGTCACCCAGGCGCCCTTAGATTGACTTTATTATCTTGTTTTGCATGCCATAGAAAAAACCAAATTTCCTTATCATTTTGCATAATTCTTGTAATGATTTCTTATCTGCTCTTTCATTTTTTAAAATTATCAGTAATAAGCTAGTAGGCTAACTACAACCATTTAAAATTTTTTGTCATATACAGGGGTGCCTGCCTGGCTAAGTCAGGTAAGTGTCCAACTCTTGATCTCATGGTCAAGAGTTTGAGCCCCATTGTTGTTTAAAAAAATGGCTAAGATGGTAGATTTGGGGCACCTGGGTGATTCAGTTGGTTAGCGTCTGACTCTTGATTTCAGCTTAGGTCATGATCTCAAGGTTGTGTGATCAAGCCCTGAGGCAGGCCCTGTTCTGGGCATGAAGCCTGCTTAATATTCTCTCTCTCTCTCTCTCCTGCTCTAAAAAAAATTTTTTTTGTCATATACAGATAGTTTTTTATTTGATGCTTCCCTGAAAGCTTTTCAATCAACTATAAGCCAGAGTACTTCATCTTCAACCAAGGAATGTTTCAGAATTCTGTGGAAAAGGACTATGCCAGATACTTTGGGGTACAGGTTTCTTATGGCATCACTTAATTTGAGACCATACTAGTGGACTGAGCCAGGATTTCTGGAACTCTAGAGAAGCCAATAGAGTTCATAAGACTGCTAGCCCAAGATCCACTGAAACAAGAATTAATTACATAGGACTGATGAATTGATGAGGGATGATTACTGTTTTTGCTTAAACTATTATTGATATTTTCATAATGTTCTATTTTCTGGATATTTAAGGAAGCCCTTTTTCTTTCCTCTTAAGCTAGCTATAACTCATAACAATTTAACAATTGTAACTCTGCTTTTTTTCAGACTCTGCTTTTGTACACCGAAATGAAACATTTGTGAATGATAGCTCATTCTCTTTGCCTGGAGCCCTCTAAAATTTGGAAACTTTTATCGAATATTCTTAATTTCATGACAATATAATTATCATATTTTCATGACAATATAATTATTGGCATAGATTCAGTAAGAATCTGTCCTCCTTTTTACCAGGATATAATTGGAAACACTGGGTGTGCAACCAAGGCCTTGCCTGGAGTGTTATATTTGGGAGTGATGCTCCTTTAATCAGATATGGCCAGACACATCTAAGGACCTAGGTTGACTTTATGGAGCCAATGCTTACAAACTCTTCCAGGAAAATTGGTTGGTATCTGGCTTACAAGGTTCTCAGCTTCTGGGTGGGTAAGGTCACTTTCTTGTCAGACCCAGGAATCTTAGGATATTTGGAGAACTTCAAGAAGAGACAAATTCACCGAATGGCTACCACAGCTGAATTCAGGTGTTGAGTTCTTGGTGTGACTATCTAACCTCAGAGGCTTTTAAAAGTCAAATTTGAGATTTTTTGGGGAAGCCTTTCAACAAAGCAAGTTTAAGGAGGCCTAAGTGGCAAATTATCACTCTTGTTGCACCAGTGTAAATAGTGAAGTTAGAGACCAGCCTTATTTGCAATCAAGAATAATCTTCCTTTGTCCCCTGAAACAAATAATACATTATATGTTAATTTAAAAAATAAAAAATAAAAAAATAAAAAAAGAATAATCTTCCTTTAAGATTATTTGTGATCAAAAGAGATATTATAGAAAAAAATGTGTACTTCAATGAGAAATTATGCATTGTCTAGGATAACAGTTCCCAGCTCTCTGATAAGAGCCCTGTTCATTGTCTCTGGGCTATTTATCAACTTTTTAAAATTGCAGGTAACTGATGAATATTGCCAATGACAAAAACCAAACAATTAAGAAGATTGATTTTATTTAGGGGGTGCCTGGGTGGCTCAGTCGTTACGCATC